ATCACATAAAATATATCATAAATTGTAGATCTATTTTCAAGCAAAAATTTTAATATTGAGAACTGATATATCATCCTTTATTTTTACATAAGATTTAGGTTTCTTCAAAAATTTATAACAGATGGAGTTAAAAATGATTAACATTAATGATTACTGTTTTCGAAGAAGCCAGGACTACAATAAGTATAATTAGTCAATGTATAAAGAGCATTGTATGATTTGAATGTAGTTTCTAAATCTTTAGCACCAAAATATACAGAAGAAAATTTGTACATAAATCGCTTGAGTACAGCCTGTTATAGTCACCTTATAAAATACCACAACATTCTTAACTCTTAAGTTGTTTGTCAAGAGAATTTGCACAGAGGCTAGAGGGTTGAAACTGAACTACAAGATTCCAACCTTTACGAATCAAAATTGCAAAGACCTAAATATCAATTAAAATTGCAAGCATCTTTTGGAGCATTATTCAATGCTTAATATACCTACACCTACTCATTTATGAGATTATTGCAATTAAAGCCATAAGCTTATTATAATTAAAGCCATACACTTTAAGAATGGGATTATACATTTAGTGCATCAAATATATGAAAGCATGTTATCAATTAACACAAGAATAAATTAGTTTTCACCATTAGTTTGATGCAAATGATCCCAAGTGTTTCGATATGTACAAGTTTATGTGATTGAAGGACTTGATTAGTAGGGGCCATGAAATAAGTAATGGTATTACTATATTTTGAGCAATAACTTCACTCCGAACTCCAAGACAAGGTGATCTCGATCAAATATATTCTTTTATAAATCACAACAAAGAATGCATTGAAAATTTTAATAACAAGTAAAAATAATCCAGTTTTGTTTGAACCTTCTTTAGCTACTAAAACTGACCATTAAATCTACACTTAGAAATATCAAAATCTGTCGAAATTCATATAAAATTTAAGTGTTTTCATTAGATTCGACTCTGCTAGAGGTTAAACACATACATATCAACCTTAATAAACTTTATTTCAATTGAAGATTTAAAGGCAAGCTTATTTTACAAAATTTCGAGTTTTATAGTTTCTTTGATATTTTTGAATCGAAATTTAGAATAAAGAATCACCATAAAATAATTTTTTGTTTTAAATAATTTCCATGGCACAGATAGGTCTTGTCTTAGAAAAATTTAGAAGATGTTCAGAATAACAAAAATTAATAGCTCATTTTATTATCAAATCTAATTTATTAAAGTATGTTCTCATTTATTCTGTTATTCTTTAATTAATTACAAAACAGAATTAACATTTATGATAAACTCTGAAGTTGAACCTAAAAAAAACATAAAGAAATTCAAGTATTTAAGTTATTAGGTAACAAATTATTATTGAGTATATCAATATTGGAAAGTTTCTTATTAATGAATTATTAATAAATTAATAAAAAATGAGATAAATATCAGTTGAAACGATATAACTTACACTTACCCATAATATTGGAGAGGGAGGATAAGGACATATCTAATAGGGAGAAATTGATTAGGGCAATCAAAAATTGAATGTTGCAGTCAAAAAATAATTCAAAATTAGTAAACATGAAAGAAAGATTTTAATGTCTCTTAAAGGAAAGAAATTTGAACAAATAATTTAAATAATTGCCTTTGAAGAAAAGCTAGATAAAATTTTCACAATTATGGAGCTTGGGGATCGCCTAAATTTTGAAAACCTGCAGAATAAAAAACAGATATGCTTACAAATAAAACATTTCAATAATTTAGATGGCAAAAGGAGTTTCTGAATTACATAAATTAGGATTCTTTCATCGAGATTTTAAAACATCTAATTTTGTAATGGGTAAAGATAATAAAAATCAAATTGATATGAATCTCAAAACAATAGAGGACAACACTCAAACTTAAGAGGTTGGCACATATTAATTTATGGCTCCTGAAATTTTGGTTAGCTCAGATTATGATTCTTCCGTCGGTATTTGGTCTTTGGGAATGGTTTTTTATTAAGCACTACTAGGAATTGGATTTTTTTCAATGAAGAAAGAGTATGAAACAAGCAATGAACTACTGTAAATTAAGCAAATATAAATCAATGAAAGACTAAGAGCAAATAAAATTTAGAATAGTGGTAATAAAAAATTACTATAAAAAATAATTGTTCAAAGATTAGATTAAGAAAAAAAGAAAAATAAGGATGTGAAAAGAATTGGTATTGATGAAGTAATTCATGAACTAGAAGAAAAAGGTTACAAACAAAAGATAGATTTGTATGAGATTTTAGTTTAATTAATTGATGACAAAGGAATCATCAACATTATTCTTTCAAAATTGAAAAAAGAAAAATCTTATGATTGCTTAAATAAACCTTAAAAGAACTCAAATGATTAGAAAAATTTCTTAGAAGAAAATGATCTAAGAAATATAAGGGAACTTAAATTTAATAAAAAGAATTACTTAAAGGAGGAATTTGTATAAATAGAAAGGATTTGATAAAAAAGATAGGTTAGGAGTAGCAAATTATTGAATTTTTGAAATTCCTAGTTCGTCTGACAGCCATTGACGAGAGGTTTAATGTGGATCGAATGCATTCAATTTATTAATCGAAATGAAGGTGGATTTGAAAGAATAAAGTGTTGAGAATATAAGGATAAGAGATACTTCTTTGGTTAGAAAGATGAAAGGATGAAACTAAAAACAATTATTTTATAAATAAGTGGTGGAGGGGAATTCGATTAAAAGAAAAATTGAAAATTGGAATTGAGTAATAGATATCATGGGTATTTAATTATTCAGGCATTTCAGCATGAGAATGGTGATGGAGGGTCATTTAAGATTGGGAGGTGGATTGAATTGAATGATCGATTTAATTGGTATTTCTAGATTTAAAAGAACGATTAGTAATCAAAAGTGACTTATGAAGAGGAATAGGAAAAAGGTAAAAATTTTGTTAGATGGGCTGAGTTTTCATCACAAAAAATTTTGGAGGGTCATATGTTTCCTATAATAAACATTTTACTTTTATTGTTCAATCAAGATAGGAAGTTTGGTAGATTTGAGCGATTATTATAATTGGCATGTTTAAATTTAATGAATTATTAGTAATAGTTAAATAACATATCACGCGGATTCTAAAAATGGGAATAAAGTTGGTATTGTTTATTAGTTAAAAAATTAGAATTTTCAGTTATTCATGTGCAAAACTTTACTAATCTTAATTTTAATCTCTCGATTCAAATTATAAATGAGATAGAAAAATAATATTTACAAAAATGTTCTATAAAGTCTATAAAGTGTTTTTAAATAAATTATAAAATGACATTAAATGGAATATCATTATCTATAAGAAGGAAAAGATGGAATAGATGCAAATAGAATATTCAATAATTTAAATAAAAATTTATATTTGGAAATAGTGGTGGTGAGTATTATGATAATAAGGAATCTTATAATGGTATTGTAGGTTCAATTAAAGTTGGGTAATAGCTCGTATAGTTTGATAACTTTGGAAAAGGTGTTGAAGAATAAGAAGTAACCTATAGTTGAGATTATCAAAATGGCACGAAAGTTGGTATTAGGGAGGGGACAGATTTAAATTAAAACTGGTTAATGTAAATATTTTTCATTAATATTAGAAAGAAGATAAATTAAGATTAATGAGTTACCCTTTATATAAAAGCATAAACATTTTCCCTCAATTCTGAAGATCTCTAGAATTAAAGCTAATATCCTCAGAAAAATGAATATATGGATTCTAGCATCACTCTAATAGTTTCTAATGAGTTAATATACATAAATATGTATATATTACTTTATAGTTTTTAATTTCTATGAAATCTTTATAAATTAAATATTGAATTGAAAAATATATAAAGAATTTTGAATTTAATATATAAAATTTTTTAATATGGTTATATTAGTTTTTCTAGAGTAATTTATAAGATTTTGAATGTACTAACTACATGTATGAAGTAAGACAAATTATTTGACAGTTAAATCCATTAGATATTATTGCAGACAAATGAGATGATGATATAAAATTGAAATTACATTAACATGTGTGTATTCTGAACAACGTTTTCGATTTTAGTTAATTCTAAGTCATTACGTATTATGAATTGAGTTAATTAATAAATAATTTAATTTTTCATTCTCTATTTGAATATACTATCTCATATATTTTAATTATCCCATCACCTTCCATTATTGGTGAACTATCCCAAATTGCAAGGAACCTTCCGCTTTTAGAAAGTGCACCGTTATTTTAATGACTTTCACATTATATAGTATTAACAATATTTAAAGTACCATTGTCTTAATTGATAATAAGATTTACAAATTGGTTTTATTTTTGAATGACCAGTTTTTTTTCAACATTATAAAATGCAGGAAAAAGCAACCAAGGATCTTCTTTATCTTAAACAGTAATTCGCTATTCCAAACTCTCTTGAAATTTTTCTTGAGACTAATTCGAATACAATCTTATAAATCCTTCATTGTTTAGCTAAAATAAAAAAGAGTCATCATCAACAAAAGTTATTCGAAATGCATAGCTATCATGAGTTATTTTTTGATAATATTTCCATATATTATTTTGTTTTTTCCAAACAATTACTGATTTATCTTTGCCACAAGAGACTAAATAATTTTCACTGTAATTTAGGCTCATTCCATATATAGTTCCTTCATGATTTGCTAATTTTTGTTCTAATTTCCATACATTTAAAGATGTTTTCCACACAATTATAGTTTAATCAGAACTACATGAAATTAATTCACTGTCATTTTTATTCAATAAGATCTAAGGAACATATCCCTTATGATAGTCCATAATTTAAGTGTATTTCCATAAATCATTATGCTTTCTCCAAATTATGATTTTCATATCTTTCCAACTACCTCCAGATATAAATAGATCTTAATTCAAACTAAAAGTCAAAGAAATAACATCATCAATATGCCCGGTTAAAGTTTAATTCTCAGTTACTTTTCCATTATTGAAATTCCATACTTTTATATCAGAGTTGCTTCCTGCTAACATTATACTATCATCCTTATTAAAAGTAATAACTCTACAAACTTCAAATTATTTAATATTGTAAATATTTTTTGTTTCTGTATATTAATATTGCGATTTATGTTATAGATATATATCTTTAAAAGTTTCAATTTTTTCCTTGGCTTACTATTGCTATTTAACTAATTGTATAACAGAGTTTTATTATTCAATCATTACCTATTTTGCAAAATTTATTATAAGTTTCAATTTTATATATAACTGTACATCTCTTTTGGATTGTTTCAATATTGGAGCCTTTTCACTCATTAATTCAGCCATCTCTTATAAGATGGACAATGAAATATTCTCACCAAAAAATTGCAAATATTTAATTTTTTGATTTTTATCATAATTTATACCTCTGATTAAATAATCTATTTCATTTATTATGTGCTCACAATTTTAATCGAATGATTTTTAAGTTTATCTCATCTACTCTTAAAATAATTTGAGTGGATTAAGGTAATCCTAAAATTCCGTATAAATGTATTGAATTTCATCTTGAGTTTTTTAAATCCATTTTTAAAAAGCTTATTCTATATAAGTCGGATTTATTAGTTAGCATTTACAACATTTCGCTCTATCTCCTTTTAAAATATTTTATCTTAGATCTAAAAATTATACTTATTCAAAGTGTTCTAAACATTGAACATTAGAGATTTGTGACATCAAATTTATCATCAAAATTATATCTTAAATTTAATATAATTCAAGTTTGGAATTAGTTATATTTATATAATGTATTTCTTTTTCCAAGAATTTTTAATTATTCAACCACAAAAAAATTAATTAAGGAAGATATACAGTGTCTCATCGAAATACTAATTGCATGTAGAAGATAAACCAGTTATGAATAAATGCATTGAATAAATTTATGAATAGAGAATTATTTATACAAGGACTGAGTTAATTTTCCTAATATTCTATTGTTATTTCCTAATTTATGAGAACCTTCTAAATTTGAATTGCCTATTTTGGATTAGAGCTGCTACAAAATTTAAAATAAAATATTTATTTTATAAAGTAATCAATTCAGAAATAAGATGTAATATATAATTATAAACGCTTATTTATATCTTAATAGCATTCAATTATTAATAGCTTAAGTTCTGATTTATATTTGCATAGAAGCATAATCCTATACTATTAATAGCCTTCCATCATCACTAAGTGTGCCATAAATATATCCCCAATAATCTTTTTAATTAAGCTCTATGGATGATTCTAATGAGCACTAAAATTCATGAGATTCATTTTGAGAATAATAAAAATCTTATTAAATTTAAATGGTAGCCATTCTTAGAAACAAATAGATTTTTGTGACTTGATAAAGCTAGAAGGAAAGTAAAGAGAGCAAGAACAATTTCCTCCTTGAACTGGAATTTCCTATTTTTTTCAAATTTATAAATTGCTTCATTAAATTTAGATAATTGTAAGCTTGTTTCAAATGGTTGATAGGAAAAAAAATTATAATTTAATAAAACAAATTCTAAATCCAATGGTTTGAGTTGATACCTTTTATTTCAATCCCCATTTTCTTTCACTTTATTCTTTAATGATAAAGATTTGCTTGTCATATTGTGGTATTCATTATCCAATTTTGAATGTTCAATCTTTATTTTTAGTATTCTTTACAACTCTTAAATTGAAATAATGTACATAAATTTCTGGATTACATCTCATATGATTGTAATTTTAATAGAATTTGAACTTGAATTTTAAAAAAAAACATCCAAAACAATACATATTAGCATTAAAACAGATTTAATAGAGCATTCGATTTCGAATTAAATTGTTAAAATGAACAATAACCACAAGACACTATTTCCTTCCTAATTAATAGATAATCCAAAAACATATGTGCTTTAATTGTTTATCGCTAAATAAATGGTGATAAAATTAATATGATGATAATAACCAAAATTTTATTTTTTTATCACAAGCACTGATAATTAGATCCTCACTAGAAGGTCGAAGAACTATAAAATTAATAATAGATGAATGCTCTTTTAACTTGAATGGTTTTCAGTACCTCGAAGTCTCAATAATTTCTGTTGACCAAATAATTATCTAATTATTTTAAGCCCCTGAAATTAAATAATTAAGCATAGATGGATTTTATTAAAAGAAATTAAGTGTGGTTAAAAAGCTGACATACTAGTCTTAAATAAACTGAATTTAGATGGGATTTGTTATCATATTTGCTTTAGAGTAAATAATTACCATAACTTTGATTTGCAATCTTTAAATTTAACAATTTAGATGCTTATCTGCAGTTGCTATCAAACTAGTATTATTATGATTGATTGCAATAGCAATGCAGAGTTCTTTTATTAATATAAATATTAAGGTTAAGATTGATAAGTTAAGGGAATAAATTATTATTATGATTGAGATTTCATTATTATTAACAATAATTATGATTCTATTAAATGCTCAACTTTTCAATTTTTATTTTAAATTGTATATCATAATGTATAATTAATACAATTAAAGTGAGATTTTTTATAATCAAAGTTTAATTGGATAACTAGATTTGCTTTCCATTTTTAATTAAAAATTAATTAAATTTTTTCCTTATTATACCATGACGAATAATAATATTTCTTCTTCATTTTTGATAATTCTTACATTAATATGCATTGGTTGGACTTTTATGTTGATTTAATAATTATCATTAATGTCAAAATAATGCTGAGACAATCACTTGACTTTAATACATTTTTGAGCATAGAATTTGAAATCCAAATTTAGATTTTTTTTTTTATATCTTAAATGTTGTTTTCNAGCTAGAAGGAAAGTAAAGAGAGCAAGAACAATTTCCTCCTTGAACTGGAATTTCCTATTTTTTTCAAATTTATAAATTGCTTCATTAAATTTATATAATTGTAAGCTTGTTTCAAATGGTTGATAGGAAAAAAAATTATAATTTAATAAAACAAATTCTAAATCCAATGGTTTGAGTTGATACCTTTTATTTCAATCCCCATTTTCTTTCACTTTATTCTTTAATGATAAAGATTTGCTTGTCATATTGTGGTATTCATTATCCAATTTTGAATGTTCAATCTTTATTTTTAGTATTCTTTACAACTCTTAAATTGAAATAATGTACATAAATTTCTGGATTACATCTCATATGATTGTAATTTTAATAGAATTTGAACTTGAATTTTAAAACAAAACATCCAAAGCAATACATATTAGCATTAAAACAGATTTAATAGAGCATTCGATTTCGAATTAAATTGTTAAAATGAACAATAACCACAAGACACTATTTCCTTCCTAATTAATAGATAATCCAAAAACATATGTGCTTTAATTGTTTATCGCTAAATAAATGGTGATAAAATTAATATGATGATAATAACCAAAATTTTATTTTTTTATCACAAGCACTGATAATTAGATCCTCACTAGAAGGTCGAAGAACTATAAAATTAATAATAGATGAATGCTCTTTTAACTTGAATATCGGTTTTCAGTACCTCGAAGTCTCAATAATTTCTATTGACAAAATAATTATCTAATTATCTTAAGCCCCTGAAATTAAATAATTAAGCATAGATGGATTTTATTAAAAGAAATTAAGTGTGGTTAAAAAGCTGACATACTAGTCTTAAATAAACTGAATTTAGATGGGATTTGTTATCATATTTGCTTTAGAGTAAATAATTACCATAACTTTGATTTGCAATCTTTAAATTTAACAATTTAGATGCTTATCTGCAGTTGCTATCAAACTAGTATTATTATGATTGATTGCAATAGCAATGCAGAGTTCTTTTATTAATATAAATATTAAGGTTAAGATTGATAAGTTAAGGGAATAAATTATTATTATGATTGAGATTTCATTATTATTAACAATAATTATGATTCTATTAAATGCTCAACTTTTCAATTTTTATTTTAAATTGTATATCATAATGTATAATTAATACAATTAAAGTGAGATTTTTTATAATCAAAGTTTAATTGGATAACTAGATTTGCTTTCCATTTTTAATTACCATGACGAATAATAATATTTCTTCTTCATTTTTGATAATTCTTACATTAATATGCATTGGTTGGACTTTTATGTTGATTTAATAATTATCATTAATGTCAAAATAATGCTGAGACAATCACTTGACTTTAATACATTTTTGAGCATAGAATTTGAAATCCAAATTTAGATTTTTTTTTTTATATCTTAAATGTTGTTTTCTATACAGGTGGTAGTGGAACCATGTTGAGCCTTGTATTTGAAAGATATACAAAACTTTAAATTCAAACAATTAATTGATAAATAATTATAAACTATGATAATTAAAATTCAAACAGTATTTATAATTACTAATCTAAATTCAGTTTACAGTTATGATCATCGATAAAATAGAAAGAAATTTGTTATATTTCTTTTCATTCTATATATTGATATTTTCATTTCATTCTAAATAAATTATCAAATTATAACAAATAATTTTACCTAGAAAAAAATGAAAAACAATTTCAAGTGAAAATTCGAAATATAGAAATAAAATAACATTAAATTTAAGAAGAAAAGATTAATTCAGAAAATTTTGTTTATAAAGAAGTAGTTTTTGAAGTGCAAGCAAAATTAGTTTATCATAATCCATATACATAATTGATTATTCGAAAAATGGAACTCAGACTGTAATATATAATGGCTAAATAATAAGAAAGTTTTTTATTTTTAATCATATAGGTAATAAATAAAGAAGGCAAATTATTAACTTCAAACATCGAAAATCTTGAATACTTATAATTTTTGAACTGGGAGGGAAATTATGGAAATAATAATCAGAAAATAGGCAAAATGGGTTGCATATTGGAAAGGAAAGAAATTGATAGCAGGAGGAGACTATGATGAATTCTAAAATAAAATTGGAGCATGGTTGAGTGAGATCAAAATTTTAGCGAGTTGTTTTGTTGCTATTAATTTACATTAGCTATTGTCAAGTTTTCACATTGGAAATGATATAAAGGAATAAATAAGGGGGGGGTATGGTAACGATGTTTAATGGTCAGATTATGTAGAATATATAAGATAAATTTATAGTTGAGTTGGATTGTATAATGAGAACGAAAAGAAAAATGGGAATTGGACTGACCTCATAACAAATTTAAGAAGTGTTTGGATTTAATATTTAAAGTTGGAATTAAATTACTTATTCAGGGGTTTAAAGAATGAAGGATAATGGAATACAAATTTTAAAAGGGAAAGCATGTTCAATAATATTTTTGATAATTTTATAGTGGAGGAGGTTAATACAACCAGTATGGATTAAAAAATGGTTAATGGACAGATATAGATGATTAAATTTGTGAGTAAGAGGATAGATAAATAAACTTCTAGCATTTATAATAAATTGATATATGTTGGTGAATATGTGAATGGAATCAAAAAAGAACACTGGCTTACTATTGTAAATGGGACTATTATGTAGTAATTATACTAAACTTAGTGGAGGTGGTAATTTTAATATGTAAGGTATGAAAAATGGGAAATGGATCGATGTTATTAACAATTTTAATTCGTACCTATCTAAAAGTACTACTTTAGAATGAATTATGTTGCTGCAGTGGGAAGTTATTTCAATGGAATTAGAATATAATAATTGGACTATGTTTACAGAGGATAAACAATCTAATAATGAAAATCTATTGGTCAGTGATTGTGAAACTTATACTGATGAAGGTATTAAAAATGGAGAATGGATGGAGTTAAATGATAATTTCAATGTTTCAATTGATTTATGATTAGATAAATTGATGTTCAATGCATAAGTGTATACCATAAAGGAATTAAATCAGGAGAATGGATAAATACTGTTGAGATAGTGGGGAGTGATAATATAATTAAGCTGGGTATAAGATTGGCGATTGGATTGAATTGGATCAATAATTGAAGAGTAACTAATTGGATAGAAATAGGAAATTGGATAGATTTGTAAGGCGATTATTACAAGTTAAAATTTATATAAATCTATACAATAGTTCAAAACAGGTGATTAAATCTGGGATTTATTAGGATGGGAAAAACCAGGACAATGGGATATATACTATAAAGGATTAATTATGTTTGATATCAGTTTTATACTTATTTAGAGTTGGAGGTCAATATGATTAGAATAGCACAAAAAAGGAAAATGGATAGAACCAAAATACAATTTTNATCATATAGGTAATAAATAAGGAAGGCAAATTATTAACTTCAAAACATTGAAAATCTTGAATACTTATAATTTTTGAACTGGGAGAGAAATTATGGAAATAATAATCAGAAAATAGGCAAAAATGGGTTGCATATTGGAAAGGAAAGAAATTGATAGCAGGAGGAGACTATGATGAATTCTAAAATAAAATTGGAGCATGGTTGAGTGAGATCAAAATTTTAGCGAGTTGTTTTGTTGCTATTAATTTACATTAGCTATTGTCAAGTTTTCACATTGGAAATGATATAAAGGAATAAATAAGGGGGGGGTATGGTAACGATGTTTAATGGTCAGATTATGTAGAATATATAAGATAAATTTATAGTTGAGTTGGATTGTATAATGAGAACGAAAAGAAAAATGGGAATTGGACTGACCTCATAACAAATTTAAGAAGTGTTTGGATTTAATATTTAAAGTTGGAATTAAATTACTTATTCAGGGGTTTAAAGAATGAAGGATAATGGAATACAAATTTTAAAAGGGAAAGCATGTTCAATAATATTTTTGATAATTTTATAGTGGAGGAGGTTAATACAACCAGTATGGATTAAAAAATGGTTAATGGACAGATATAGATGATTAAATTTGTGAGTAAGAGGATAGATAAATAAACTTCTAGCATTTATAATAAATTGATATATGTTGGTGAATATGTGAATGGAATCAAAAAAGAACACTGGCTTACTATTGTAAATGGGACTATTATGTAGTAATTATACTAAACTTAGTGGAGGTGGTAATTTTAATATGTAAGGTATGAAAAATGGGAAATGGATCGATGTTATTAACAATTTTAATTCGTACCTATCTAAAAGTACTACTTTAGAATGAATTATGTTGCTGCAGTGGGAAGTTATTTCAATGGAATTAGAATATAATAATTGGACTATGTTTACAGAGGATAAACAATCTAATAATGAAAATCTATTGGTCAGTGATTGTGAAACTTATACTGATGAAGGTATTAAAAATGGAGAATGGATGGAGTTAAATGATAATTTCAATGTTTCAATTGATTTATGATTAGATAAATTGATGTTCAATGCATAAGTGTATACCATAAAGGAATTAAATCAGGAGAATGGATAAATACTGTTGAGATAGTGGGGAGTGATAATATAATTAAGCTGGGTATAAGATTGGCGATTGGATTGAATTGGATCAATAATTGAAGAGTAACTAATTGGATAGAAATAGGAAATTGGATAGATTTGTAAGGCGATTATTACAAGTTAAAATTTATATAAATCTATACAATAGTTCAAAACAGGTGATTAAATCTGGGATTTATTAGGATGGGAAAAACCAGGACAATGGGATATATACTATAAAGGATTAATTATGTTTGATATCAGTTTTATACTTATTTAGAGTTGGAGGTCAATATGATTAGAATAGCACAAAAAAGGAAAATGGATAGAACCAAAATACAATTTTTATAGGTTAATTAACTTCCTAACTTAGTTAAAGAATACTTCAAGAGGGAATATATACTAAAGGTCAAAGAGTGGAAAGTGGAAAGCACATTAAAAATATGAGTAAGTAACAACTAAATTATTATAAAAGAGGAGGAGGAGTATATAATCAATAGAGATTAAAAATGAGACATAGAATATATTTGGATGATGATTATTAATCGTATCGTTATTAACGACTTTATAGATTTAGATAGATCACTTATAGTGGTGAATGTACTAATGGAAAGCAGATTGGAAAATGGTATATCTTATATAAAGGGGATCTCATGTAATCCTTATAGTAATTTATCTTAGAGGGGGAGGATCATATAATGAGAATGGCTTAAAGGATGGAAAAAGAATAAAAATCCAACATAACTTCTAATAGTTTTCGAAATCTGAGTGAAGTAGATTTGCCAAATGACCCTAAAGTTAACTGTAATATTAATAATCAAGCAAACCTTATTCATTATAAGATATTCGGAAACTATTTAAATAAGTTGTAAGTTGTACTGAAACTGAATTTCTTCAGATTAAAATGAATGAGTATAATGAACACTTAACAATTTTCTATCATTATATTATTATCCTCAACTGTAAAACAGTTGATTGAAAATAATTTAACAAATAAACCAATCTAATTAATTTATATCCATTTTATTTAGCTTTTCTTTATATATTTTATATTATATTTTAAATTTTACTATAATAAGCAAATAATAGCACTTGTAACTTCAAATACATAAAAATAACACTTAATACTTATTACGATCAATAAATTGAACAATAATCTCTATTTCTAGGGTTACTTCAATTCTTTTTTTGCCTAATTTCTATTTTAAAACATTATTTACAATAACTCTTTGATAATATTAGTTTTCAAAGGTACTTAAATTTTAATTGGCCCTAAAACTAAATATATTGAATTTAGTTCATTTTTTAAAATATCTTATTTTTTTATTATGAAAATTCTCTATATAATACTAGGGTATCTTATTAACCATTCAAATTCAAAGTGCGATGAATTAAAAATACAACAATAAGTATCTTGCTACTAATTCACAAAAAAATGTTGTATTTTAGAAGGAAATGAAGATGATTATTAATAACTTCAACACATCAATACTCAAATTGTAGAAAAGTCAATCTAAATTCCATATTAAGAAGAACCCATTTTAATAAGAGTCATCAGTTCTTTGAATTAATATAAAATATAACAGAAGTTAATGTGCTCCTTGTTTGCTAATCTTGAATATTATATCACTTGTATGGCATTTGATTTAATTTTGTATGAGGAATAAACTAATTATAGTGAATATATTAGAATAAATACAAAAATATTAGCTAATAATCTTTGCGATGAATTATTTACAATGCAAGACGGATTTTTGAGTTTATTTTGTCTAGGTTAGACAACTTTAAAATAATACTCTTTGGATTTTTCAAGGAATGTTATTTTAAGCTTTGAGTACGATGTTTCGGACTAAATAGAGGATAAATGCAAAAAAAAATAAATTAAATGGAAAGATAATTAATATTTAGTTGTATTTTATCAATGCTCGAGATGGAAAGTTTTGCTAATTAAAAATAATCAATCTAGTACTTTATTGGACTCGTCAATGAAGCATTAGGATGTTTAGCTATCTAGGTTCTCTTTCATTGATTATGTAACTTATTGTGAATCTAACAATGTGATTTCTAATATCTATCTGATAGAAGATAATTTTTATTTATAAGTATTTTTGAATCAACATGCAATAAAACATCTAAATTTTGTGTTAATAGAATATCCAATTCGAATTCAAAAGATCTTAATATAATCAAACTGTTAACTATTAATTTTAGTCAACTAATTGGATTTGCTAATTTAATCTCAATAAGAATCATAAGTAATACTTAATTAACAATATCCAATTAATAATATTCACTTTTATTCAAATCTCATTTTCCTATAAAACTAATTTGAATTAGATGTATTAATAAGTGCTCAGATTAATTAGACATATCAAATTTGCAACACATCATTGCATTTTTTTGAAACTAATAATTTATTTTGTTAATTTGATAACACTAAAAAAGTGTTATAATTTTATAAATATTAACCATTACCTACTATTATAAAACCTAAATAGAAGTATATATTTATAATTTAGAAAAAATAATTATTCAGGAAAGGTCATACTTCCATTTGTTATAGAGTTTTATACTACAATCACAATCAAAAAGCAATATCACAATTCATTGAGTTGATTATTTTCCAAAATAATTGCTAACAGAAGTATCAAACATTATGGAAATCAGAGTACTCTGTTAATAATGGTACTTTCAATTTAAATAGTAGCGATGGGAGCATTAATGTAAATATCAGAAAATATGAAAACATTCATTCAACTTGTTTAACAAGACTTTATACATTTTATTTCTAAGATAAGTTTGAGTTAAAAGATATAATATCACAATACATATGTTTTCAATACGAATCAATTTTTTATATCTATGATTGCGAAAAAGATAAATTTTCAATCTCAATAAACTTAAATTAATATAATGTACTTCAATCTAGGCCAGTCTATTATTTTGTGAATAGAAATAATAATAGTGTTTTGAGAGGAGTTAACCTTTTAGCACCCTCAATTTCACTTTTCAATATCTATTTAAATGAAGTAATTACAAGCTTTGAGCAAATTTCCTAGTATATATTTTTTTAAGTGAACAATTCAGATTTACCGCTTATTATATAAATGAATTATTTGCCTTATTCAAGAAGCAATTATTTATCAAAAGACCTTTATTAACCTGAACCTATTCTATTTTATTTTGACTTTGAAAACATAATTTTTATTCAATATCCACAGATTTTAGCTATTAAAAGTAAAGAAATTTTGAGATGTTATGAAATCCAAGAATAATTAATTATTTCAATTCAAGAGTTAATTCATCCATCTAATTGTTACATAATTGTTGCAATATAATGCGATTATAAAATATTAACTTTGCAAAATTAACCATTTTCTTTAATAATACATTATTTTGAGGATTATTAAATACATTAAATTTATAATTACACATTTTAGGATTATTAATTTTATTATCCTTTTACGTACACAATAAACCTTGATAGCATAGCTTTATTAATTAAGAAAAATAATTTGCTATATATAGCAATTTTTTAATATGATGTGTAGACGGTATCTTTATATGATATTATCGCAACTGACAATTCCTTTTTTAAATGTGATTTATATCGACTATTATTTTCTTATGATAAAGTATGGATGTACTTATTATTAAAAAACATCCTTGTTGAATTTGAGACAGAATCACTTCATTAAAATACCTTATCATCAAATTTTTCGATGAAATTAAAAGAATTGGATGAATCTGAATTAAGAATTTCAATCTAAAATCAATGCTTTAAGGTATACTCTATAATAAAATCACCTATTTTTGAAATTCAATAGAATTAAAGTATAAAATTACATATTTCTGATATATTTTATGGTCCAATAACTAATTTGACACTCATCAATAATTCAAACATTATTTTGAAGGGACCTTATCAATTTAAGCAAGAACTTTTAAATTGTAATGATGAAACTTCAATATTATGTTATAAAGTACATTATTTTTAGAAATAAATAGAGCAGTTTATTTTTACAGTAATTATGTAGGATAATTAAGTTATTGAAGTATTTTAAAGTAATTTTTTTGATAGATATTATGTAACCTGGGTAAAATGGTAATATTATCTTTATGTTTCTTAATTATTAAATGTTGAATTGATTGAATGTTCTGAAAAATAATATGAACCTTGTAAACTCATCTCTAAAATTAGTGATAATTTTGGAATAGAATAGATTAATATTGCAGACACAACCAGAGTTGGTAATTTAATAAAACTTTAAGGTGACAACACTTAGGCTTTTATTTTTATTGATGATATCAATTTTAATATACAGCTTTTCTCTGGCATTTTCATAGATATCCAATATATTGAAAAATCAAAGGATTAATACCTCTTTCTATAGAAAAATATGAAAGATACCAATGAGTTAGAATTAGCAATATACTCAATCAATTTAAATCAAAAACACCAGATATACTCATTAGCAATTAGTGAAAAAATATAGAGAGAGTTAATTAAAAATGGAAATCTTATTAAACAAATAGTTAAAATGAAATTAGTCTCATGTAAGTATACTGGAGAGTAAATTAGTATTAAGCTTGTTATTATGGATTAATTTTGTTCATAATTATTCTAATTAAATTTAGATCAATAAAAGAATTAAATTGAATTCGAATTGTAAAAGCAAGTAAGAAATTCAATGAACTTAAATTCACATAAGAGTGAAAATATTATTATTTAACATATTGATGATTAGCTTTTAATTTAAAAAGACATTGAAAGCAATTTGTCTTCATTTTATGATCTCCTAGAAGATAGGATATTCTATGATTATTTTCATTAATCTATAATTTCAATGTAAATAAAAAGATTCAATACTACTAACTTCATTTTTATTGATTGTTATAAGATATCTATAGGAACAATTGGATATGAATTAGAATTGCAAAATTATAATTAAATTGAATAAAATTTTCAATTATTCGCTGAAAATGAGATATCAAATGATGTAGTTTCATTGTAAATACATATAATTTAATCAAAATAGAAATTTACACATAGTATTTTAATCATATAAATATCTTGTTTTATTTTCATAATAATTTACACTAGAAAAACTTAATCAAAATCAGGAAGGAAAAAACAAAGTGGTAATTGATATTTAAAAATCTATATTATAAGAATTTTTGAGAATTTGTATTAAATTAAAATAAATAAATTGAATCATTTTCTAATGCTATCTTTGAATTTTTAAGTATAAAATTAATTGATCAATTTATAATTAATTTTAATCCCCATATTAGCTTATTTGTAACTGACACATTCACAACTATTTATTGAATATTAATCTCTATGAGCTAAAAGATCAACTAATTTTAGATATATGTGAAATAATATGATTTAATTGTTGCGATTGAATTTTGAAATATTTAATATAAACCAATTATAATAATAATTGTTTAACGTAATATAAATATTTTATTATTGAAATTTGAGAGATTAAGCAGAGAGGGTGAACTTCAAATTAATAGTGATAAAAGCAATATCTATTTATCAAAACTATTACTTTTAAAATATAGTTCTTTAGAACCTCTACTATTGAGAATTATAATGAACCTTAAATATGCCTTTGTTCAATACTTCTCAATAGCATTATATTTCATTTGGTTAAATGAATAAAATGAGAAGTGAATATTTAATTTGAGGTTAACATATATTCCATAATAAAATTATGGTTCCAAGACCTAAATCTTGTGATCCTCTCTTTATTTCTAATTATAAAAACTTTATTCTTAAAAAACTATCTTTTAATTTATTGCCAATTCATACGACTTTGTAAAAGATTTAATTCATCTTGATCCAGAACTACCTTTACTTTTAATAATTAAATAGATCAACTTTTTATGCGCAGTTATAAGTTGGACGAAAGCTATAAATATAACTAATGTAATATCTTTCTTCTTTAATTATTACATGTTGGTAGTCAGTTTTAAGATTAGTTGTTGCTTTGAACTAACCCAAGCTTTTCTTTTATAATTGTTTTTTCATAGGGTAATCGGAGCTTTTTAAGAGGGTTTGGG